ACCCTGACGCTGTTGACAATGCCTGTTGTGGAATCCATTGTGGCATTGGGGAAGTCCATGGGGTTCGATGCGAGTGGCGAGGATGTGGAAGAGTTGGTGGAGGACCACTGAAGACCTGCAACACCTTCAACTGGAACAGCAACAGGCCACAGCTAAGGAACTTGCTTCAGGGTAGGAGGAGGAGGAGGAAGAGAGGGAAGGATGTGCCTTCTTCAGTGATTAAGGACATTTGTGCAAAGTGGAATGAGGTGCAAACTTTTGTGGAGAAATATCACCCTGAAGCAAGCCATATCTACAACATGTTCAGTGACAAAACCTTGTCCCATTTTAGGGAAATCTTAGAGATGCCAGAAACAGCACTCTGGACAGTTATTTTGTGTGACAGGGGTCCAGTGACTCTCAAGCTGGTCCTAGTGGCAATTAAAAGACAAAGAAGGGAAGTAACCCCAGAGAGGGACTTGTTACCTAGTCCTTATGGAGGGGGATTTCCCTTCCAAACAATAATCAGCCCTCCCTCTCTCCTGCCTGTCTTCCATAAACCAACAAGAGTCTTCAATAAAGGTATGTAATTGTGAAGACTTATTCAGCTCTGTCAGATCTTAGGCAAATATTTAACAAGGCTGGCTCCTCCTCATGAAAAGTAATAATGGAAAATATAATAATATACAAAGATAAACACTATTATAAGAATTGATGCAAAAATGTAAAACAAACATGAGAATTAATCTTACTTGAAAGAAAAATGAAATACATAAATAATACATGATTTCAAAGCTAATTTATACACACGTGTTGCTGGTTGTGCTGATGTTCTTGACACAGCGCTTTGAAGAGTGTCAGAGCTCGAAGCAGTTGTTGAAGATGGCGGGGGGGGGGGGGGGTCACAGCTGGTCGTCACTCACAACCGACGGTTTCCACAATACAATTATGCCAAGAGGTGAACTTATCCTCTGATCACCACAGTGTTGAAGATGTTGGATAGCCATTCTTATCACCACAGTGTTAAGTAGCCTGACAAGACACATAGTTACACTGGGTAGTTGAGTGTGTAGTTGGCTGGGATCGGTTAAATGTCTAACAGTGGGGATGGACTCGTGGGTATTTTCTGCTATATATACTCTCTGGATCTTTGCCAGAACCCTGCTGTCCTTATCTTACCTCGCCCATGTCAGATGACCCACGCGGACAAATCAAGGTGGTTTGATGGAAGCCGCCAGTCAAGTGATTCTTCCACTGGTTGGAGACGTACACATCACCTCCCACCGGGTGTAAAGAGGAGGGGGGAATAGCGGGAGCTAGACACTACATGCTTTAACTAGCAGACTGCCAACAAATAACCATTACCATACATTCATACTTTCCCTTCTTCTATTCTGAACTTTTCCCTCACAGTAATAGTGATTTAAATGTTATTTTATTTACAGTGGTCCCTCAATAATCGTCCGGCCTGAAAGTCATCCATTTCGGAAATAGTCCTGTTTTTTCGTCAAAATATTGGCTCGGAAATGGTCCAGTAACTCGCTAATAGTCCTTCATCCCGGACGCGTACTCACGGTCTGAGCGGCCTCGACATTTCCTTCCCAGCCAGTGTGCCATTGTTTACCAGTGAGCGACGGTCCCCTCACGTGCTCCAGCGAAATATTTCATAATATTTCATTTATTTTAGTGCTTGCAAGTTATTTAATTGCTAAATAAGCTACCATGGTTCCAAAGAAAGCTCCTAGTGCCAAGCCTTTGGTAAAGAAGGTGAGAAATACGATTGAATTTAAGAAAAACATCATTGAACAATATGATAGTGGCGTACGTGTGGGCGAACTGGCCAAGATGTATAACAAATCCCGTACAACCATATCTTCCATCATAGCCAAGAAAAAGGAAATCAAGGACGTTGTTGTTGCAAAGGGGGTAAATATGCTGACAAAAATGAGATCACCAGTACTCAAAGATGTTGAGAAGTTATTATTGGTGTGGATAAATGAGAAACAATTAGCAGGAGACAGTCTTATGACGTCGCTTATTTGTGAAAAGGCTAGGCAGTTGCATGACGATTTGGTAAAGAAATTGCCTGCAACTAGTGATGATGTGAGTGAATTTAAGGCCAGCAAAGGCTGGTTTGAAAGATTTAAGAAGCGTACTGGCATACACAGTGTGGTAAGGCATGGTGAGGCTGCCAGTTCGGACCACAAGGCGGCTGAAAAATATGTGCATGAATTCCAGGAGTACATAGAGGCTGAAAGACTGAAACCTGAACAAGTGTTCAATTGTGACGAAACAGGCCTCTTTTGGAAGAAAATGCCAAAGAGGACCTTCATTACACAAGAGGAAAAGGCAATGCCAGGACACAAGCCTATGAAAGACAGGCTGATGCTAATGTTCTGTGCTAATGCTAGTGGGGATTTCAAAGTGAAGCCATTACTAGTGTATCATTCTGAAAATCCCAGAGTGTTCAGGAAAAACAATGTTATGAAGAGTAAATTGTGTGTGTTTTGGAAATCTAATAGTAAGGCATGGGTCACGAGGGAAATTTTTGTAGAGTGGTTCAATGAAGTGTTTGGCCCTAGTGTGAAGAATTACCTCCTGGAAAAGAAATTGGATCTCAAGTGCCTCCTAGTAATGGACAATGCACCTGCTCATCCTCCAAACTTGGATGACCTAATTCTGCAGGAGTTTGGGTTCATCACAGTAAAGTTCTTGCCCCCGAATACCACTCCTCTCCTCCAGCCCATGGACCATCAGGTCATTGCAAACTTTAAAAAACTCTACACCAAAGCAATGTTTGAAAGGTGCTTGAATGTGACCTCAGACACTCACTTGACCCTACGAGATTTTTGGAAAGAATATTTCAGTATTCTCCATTGCGTAAGCCTTATAGGTAAGGCTTGGGAGGGAGTGACTACCAGGACTTTGAACTCTGCTTGGAGAAAATTGTGGCCAGATTGTGTCCACAAGAGGGATTTTGAACCGTTTGGGGCTGACCCTGATGAGCCTATGTCAGTTGTTAAATCCATTGTGGCAATGGGGACTTCCATGGGGTTGGATGTGAGTTTGGAGGATGTGGAAGAGTTGGTGGAGGACCACAACGAAGAGCTAACCACTGAGGAGCTGCAAGAGCTTCAGAAGGAACAGCAACAGATCGCAGCTCTGAATCTTGCTGCAGAGGAGGAGGAAGAGAGATGGAGGAAGGTGCCTTCTTCAGAAATTAAGGAGATTTTTGAAATGTGGGGTAGGATGGAAAGATTTATGGAGAAACATCACCCAGAGAAGGATATTGCAAGCCATATCGGCAACTTGTACAGTGACAGAATCTTGGCCCATTTTAGGGAAGTTTTAAAGAGACGCCAGAAACAGAGCTCTCTGGACAGTTTTTTTTGTGAGACAGGACTCCAGTGACTCTCAAGGTGGTCCTAGTGGCATTAAGAAACAGAGAAGTAACCCCAGAAAAGCAATTGGTACCCGAGGTGTTGATGGAAGGGGATTCCCCTTCCAAACAGTAATTCATCCAATCAGTCTCCTCCAGTCTTCCATACACAAAGAAGAATCGTCAATAAAGGTAAGTGTTATTCTGTTAATGTTTAATTCATCATGTGCCACTGTATTGTTTATGTACTACATCTATTTCATGTAAAGCAGCGCTGTATAGTCCTTGTGGCTTAGCGCTTCTTTTTTGATTATAATAATAATAATATTTCATGTAAAAAAAAATTTTGTTTTAATACTTCTGGGTGTCAGAAACGGATTAATTGAATTTACATTATTTCTTATGGGGAAAATTGATTCGTAAATTGTCCATTTCGATAATAGTCCCACTTCCAGAACGGATTATGTACGATTATTGAGGGACCACTGTAGTTCTCATTGTTTTGTATATGTAAAACTATAATTAATCTTTTAAAAATCTATTTTTTTGTGAATATTTTTGGAGGTCTGGAATGGATTAATTGTATTTACATTAATTTTTATGGGAAATATTGCTTTGAATTTAGTCCGTTTCGAATTTAGGCTGACCTTCTGGAATAGATTATGGCCGAAAAACAAGGTTCCATTGTATCATATAATCAAATTAAGTGCTAAATACAAGAGGGTCACACTGCACTGCTGGGAATTATGTGCACAGGTGATGAGGGAGTGAAGTGCAGTTGAGAGAAAAAAAGTCACAGTTGTTTCAATAAGTTTATATTAAAAAGCTCGAGGACCAGGTGATCAGACTGAGGAAGGAGGGGAGCTCACAGGAAGCAACCAGGAAGTATGTGAGGAGCTCAGCTCAAGATTCAGGGAGGTATTCAAAATGGAGACAGAGAAGCTTCCAGCAAATTTAGAGAGTAGGGTGCACCAGCAAGTGCTGGACACACAACCTCAGAGGAGGTGAAGAAACTGCTGGATGAGCTAGATACCTCAAAGGTGGTAGGTCCAGATAAAATCTCTCCATGGGTCCTGAGAGAGAGAGCAGATTCAATGTGCCACTAACAACAATCTTCAATAAATCTATTGAAATGGCAACTGCCTGAGGTGGGGAAGACAACAAATGGAGTCCCAATTTTTAAGGAGTCAGACAGGCAGCACTAAACTATAGATCTGTATTGTTGACATGTATAGTACATAAAGTTATGGAGATTATCAGAAGTTGTGGAGCACCTAGAAAGAAATGGGCTCATACACGACATCACGGCTTCTGGGAAGGGAAATTCTGCATCACAAACCTACTGGAGTTCTATGGTAAGGTAAAAGAAGTTAGACAGGAGAGAGAGAGGGATGGGTGGACTGCATCTTCTTGAAATGTAAGAAGGCTTTCAATACATTGCCACACAAGAGTGGTTGAAAAGCTGAAGGAGTAGGCATAGAAATTATTTCCAGGGAATGTGTTGTACTGTATATACAGTATCTTTGCATTATGTGATTACTTTACCAGTATATATATAAACTTTCATGATCAAATGCTGTAGTCTTAATTACTATAATCAAAGTACTGTATTCCTTTAATTTAGGATAATGAAAAAAAACAGTTAAAATTATCAGAATGATAATTTTTTTATTTTCTAAGAAGGAAGTGGTTTCATCAAGAGGTCAGGAACAAGGCACTACTCAAAGTACAGTGGACCCCCGGTTTACGATCAGCTCCCAATGCGACCAATTATGTAAGTGTATTTATGTAAGTGTGTTTGTATGTGTATGTTTGGGGGTCTGCAATGGATTAATCTAATTCACAATATTCCTTATGGGAACAAATTCGGTCAGTACTGGCACCTGAACATACTTCTGGAATGAAATATCGTAAACCGGGGGTCCACTGTATATTATTAAAAATTCATAGGAAACATATGTACAAATATTTGTAGTCTCTAACTTTATAAGACATCTATTTTACAGAATTCATTTTTACTGGCTAAGATCTGTTAACTTATTTCATTTACACTGGTATCATACATAAAATGGCAGTGAGCAGACATTGTAACTTAAGATTAAAAAATGGCTGACTTGGATAATACAAACTTTCATTTACACAATAACATAGCACCACTTTTTTCACACAGATGTAAGCAAATAATTTTCAAACAGGTAGCTGTATACTAAACACTTTGTGATACAAAGAACAAAAAGTATAAACCACAGATAAGAGCATATTATATCCTTAAGGATAAGAAACTTGTGAACCAGATTAGCATTCAAATGAAGGTATTAATTAAAATAGAACTATAGAATGCAATTCACAAATAACCCCACACTTAGGAAACCTGACCATTGTTGCCCATCCTGGACCATTTTTAAGTTTAAACTTGCCAGTGGCAGCACCATGGGGGACTTGGGGGCTTTGGCCTCCCAAAAATTTCCTTGGACCCCTATAAAAATATTAATGCTGCTTCAAAACAAATCTAGTTCCTCTTCCAACCAGACAGCCACCCCTAAATTCCCAGAATAGAAATTTTGGCACCACCATGACTTGCCAATAATTCAGAACAGTCCAAAACATCCTCATAAGTTTCCTAAGTACAGGTTATATGCAAAATGCTCCAGCCACAGTATTGTGACATTTACTTTTTTATCAAAAATAAATTCGTTTTTGTAATAATCTGAATTCATTTTCTTTTACTGTGACAAAAAAAAAAATTAAGGCTAAATAAATTTTGTAAAAAAAAAAAAAAAAAAATAAATAAATAAAAATTACCCACCAAAATAGTATCTATTGCTGAATGGATCAGCCCTGATTTCTGGTGGAGGAGATGGAATTACAGGGGCACCACTCCTTTTTCTCATACAAACATTACAACGACTAACACGTGTTTTAAGATCCCCAGCCTTCAATGTTTGCTGTTGGGGTTTTCGGAATTGTTGTTCAAGTTCAACTGTTGCCAACCAATAGGAAAAGGCAGATGGGAATAAGTTGCAGGTACCTTGCCCAGTGCATTCAATAAATGGACTTGAACGGAAGTCCTCAAGACATGACCCAGGTGAGATGAGAGACTGGCCAGCACCTTCTGCTCCTGAGTCAGTATGCTGCAGGAAAAAAAATTTGCTAGTATAGTACAGAAAATATTAAAATAATATATTTAAATTGTAGTTCAAGTACAAGTGGATTGGTCTGGAGGAGCACAACTGTAAAATTTAATCAAGGATGGCACTAAGGGTAGTGCCAAAAGTATCTCCAAAGAGGAAGTGTCTTAATGTTGGTGAAGAGCTCTTCAAATTAAATTTTTCATTTCTTTTTTTGTGGTATAAAAATAATGTAGTATACATGTAATAAAACACTGGTAGGCACAAAAGAAAATCACTAGTATGCAAAGTATTTCAAGCTACCCTCTTCCTTGGATTAAACATAATTGCCAATCATTTTCTAGGCACTGAATGACTATGGATTTAGCACTTCCTCATGAATGTAATAATAATAATACTAAAACTGTCTTCATATTTTAGGGAATGTATGATAGTATAGTGGTACCAACATTCTTATATGGGTGTGAAGCATGGATTGTGAATTTTTCAGTGAGAAGGAAGCTGAAAGCAATGGGGATGTCATGTCTAAGGGCAATGTATGATGTAATTATGCTGAGACTTTGTAATGTGGAAATTAGGAGGTGTGGAGTTATTGAAAGTACTATTCAGTGTGCTGAGGAGAGGTGGTGTTGAGATGGTTTGGTCATTTCAAGAGGATGGAGCAAAATAGGATGAAGGGCATAAAAATTTGTAGTGGAGGGAAGGTGGGGTAGGGGTTGTCCTAGGAAAGGATGGAGGGATTAAAGGAGGTTCTGTGTGCAAGGGGCTTGGACATACAGCAGGCATGTTTGAGTGTACTAGATAGGAGTGAGCAGAAACAAATGATTTCTGGGATCTGACCAGCTGTTGAACTGTGAGCAAGTTAATATTTTGTGAAGGGACTCGGGAAAACTAGTTAGCCAGATTCAAGTCCTAGAGGTGGTAAACACACTAAAGGAGGGGTCTGGGATTTCTGCTGTTTGGAAAGACATCTAAAATGTCGTATTTGCACGACTCTGGTAAGGCAGTAATACAGGTCCACATCCCTTTATCCGAAATTCAAAAAGTTCCGAAAACCAAAGTTTTTTTGTGGAGTGTGGAGCATCAGTCATCTCACTGCTGGGTCAGGCTGCTACTTGGCACATGACCCAGCACTGACAGCCAGAGTGGTAGGTGTCAGTTGTGTCTCAGCACTTTTAGTGTTCACACGTGTGTCTGCTGTTCACTGATATTTTGTTTGCTTTTTATTTTGTGACTGCTTAATTTCACTGTGAAAATGTCAAAAAGAGCTGCAGATACCCCTATGGGTAACAGTAAGAAAAAGAAAAGGAAGCACCTGACATTATCAATAATGCAGAAAGTAGAGTTACTGCAGAAGCTTGATAGTGGTGTGTCAGTGTGGCACCTTACTGAAGAATATGGTGTTGGAACTACCACTGTTTGTGATTTCAAGAAACAGAAAGACAAGTTACTGAAGTATTATAGTGACAGTGATGACTAAAAACTAATGAAAAATAGGAAAACACTGCATAGGGCAAAAAAAACGAAGATCTTCACTGTGTGCTAATGGAGTGGATTCGACAACGAAGAAGTGAATGTACGCCACTGACTGGTTTGTTGGTCATGAAACAAGCTAGAATATACCATGAAGAACTGAACATTGAAAGCGAGATTATGGCAATTTACTCAGTTAAAGAGAGATTGCTTAGACAGAAACCTATGTTAATAAGACAGATGACACCTGAAGAAGTCTTTAAAAATGCTGTCTGTCATCATCTTGAGAATCATATTCCTGGTCTATAATTATCCCATTATTTCATTTATCAATATTCTTTTTTTTTTATTAACACATCAGCTGCTTCCCACCAAGGCAGGGTGGCCTGAAAAAGAAAAATTTCATCATTCACTCCATCACTGTCTTGGCAGAGGTGTGCTTACACTACAGTTATAAAACTGCAATATTAACACCCCTCCTTCAGAGTGCAGACACTGTACTCCCCATCTCCAGGACTCAAGTCTGGCCTGCTGATTTTCCTGAATCCCTTCATAAATGTTACCCTGCTCACATTCCAACAGCATGTCAAGTTCTGAAAACCATTTGTCTCCATTCACTCCTATCTAACACACTCGTGCATGCTTTCTGGAAGTCCAAGCCCCTCGCACACAAAACCTCCTTTATCCCCTCCCTCCAACTTTTCTTAGGCTGACCCCTACCCCGCCTTCCCTCCACTACAGATTTATACGCTCTCGTAGTCATTTTATTTTGTTCCACCCTCTCTACATGTCCGAACGACCTCAACAACCCTTCCTCAGCCCTCTGGATAATAGTTTTGGTAATCTTGCACCTCCTTCTAATTTCCAAACTACGAATTCTCTGCATTATATTCACACCACATACTGCTCTCAGACATGACACCTCCACTGCCTCCAGCCTTCTCCTTGTTGCAACATTCACCACCCATTCTTCACACCCACATAAAAGTGTTGGTATAACTATACTCTCATACATTTCCCTCTTTGCTTCCACGGACAAAGTTCTTTGTCTCCACAGACTCCCAAATGCACCACTCACCCTTGTCCCATCATCAATTCTTGATTTACCTCATCCTACATAGACCCATCTGCTGACACGTCCACTCCCAAATATCTGAATACATTCACCTCCTCCATACTCTCTCCCTCCAATCTGATATCCAATCTTTCCTCACATAATTTTTTGTTATCCTCATCACCTTACTCTTTCCTATATTCACTTTTAATTTTCTTCTTTTATATACCCTACCAAACTCATCCACCAATCTCTGCAACCTCTCTTCCGAATCTCCCCAAAAATGTATCATCAGCAAAGAGCAACTGTGACAACTCCCATTTTTGTGTTAGATTCTTTATCTTTTAACCCCACACCTCCTCCCAACACCTGTGCACTCACTTCTCTCTCTATCCCATCTATAAATATATTGAACAACCATGGTGACATTACACATCCTTGTCTAAGGCCTACTTTTACTGGGAAATAATCTCCTTCTATCCTACATCCTCTAACTTGAGCCTCACTATCTTCATAAAAACTCTTCACTGCTTTCAGTAACCTACCTCCTATTCAATACACCTGCAACATCTGCCACACTGCCCCCCTATCCACCCTGTCACTTTTTCCAAATCCATAAATGCCACAAAAACCTCTTTACCTTTATCTAAATACTGTTCACCTATATGTTTCACTGTAAACACTTTGTCTACACACCCCCTATCTTTCCTAAAACCACCTTGTTCATCTGCTATCCTACTCTCTGTCTTACTCTTAATTCTTTCAATAATAACTCTACCATACACTTTACCAGGTATACTCAACAGAATTATTCCCCTATAATTTTTGCACTCTCTTTTGTCCCCTTTGCCTTTATACAAAGGAACTATGCACACTCAATTTATCAATATATTACTCTATAAATAAACTGTAGTAGTATTTGTAGTCTATTTGTCCCACTTAGGGTGAGTATTCATACGTTTTTGCTGCAGTGTTAATGTTTGATTATGGGGTGCTGCCCTAGACCCCACCTTCATTCTGAAATTCGAAATATTGGTCCCAAGGGTTTCGGATAAAGGGATGGGGACCTGTAGTGTGAATGATGGTGAAAGTGTTTCTTTTTCAGGTCACCCTGCCTCAGTGGGAGACAGCCAGTGTGTTAATAAAAAAAAATTATTTTATAATGATTCTTCATTGAAATACAAAAAATAATGATTCTTTACACTTAACAGAATTATTTGTAACTGTACTGTATTAGACTTCAAGAACCGAAGACAATTAATTCAAGTTTTAAACTTACCATGATGAATGAGTAGCCTATCCAAAGTGATTCCCATTGTGTAGGGCAATCGGGAACCTCCAATGTTTGACTGTGGACAGCAATTACAACTGATGGCGCTTCACACACAACACATCTGGGAAGATAAAAATCCCAATATAGTAGTTTAGTACATGGTGAATAAGACATGTGCAACACTTGGATACAGTATCTTCATTTGATAGACAAGGTGTTTCACTGCTGCTACATATAGTTGTCAATATGTATATCCTAACCATGGAGGCAAAGAGAGGAATACATCATAGTGGATGTAAAGCATGGGTTTTAACCCTTTCAGGGTCGACAGGCCCTCTCAGAGACTTGTTCTCAGGGTCGGCCAAATTTCAAAAAAAAAAAAAAAAAAAAAAAAAAAAAAAAAATTCTTATGAAAAGATAATCTTTTTCCCGATCATAATGACACCAAAAGTATGAAATTTGATGGAAAACTTATGGAATTATGCTCTCGTGAAGTTAGCGGTCTCGACGATGTTTACGCATCGGCGATTTTGCCCACTTTGAGCCCTATTTTCAACCAATTCCAGTGTACTAGTTGACAAAAATCATAACTATTTCGTTAGAACTCCATTTTTTCTATCGAATGAGTACAAGAAACCACCCATTTACCGATTTCAACTATCCAATACAGTGGTCAGAATTTAGCAATTTTGCCAATTTCACACAAATTCCAAAGGTGCCAATTTCCGAATAGGGTCCAGAATAAACAAGAAGGACTTTCCTGGCACTAAAATAACATTTCCTCTGTTCATTAGTCATGTCCCCAGCCCCTCTTACATTCTTTTGCTTTCCACTTTGAATTTTTATTCTCACAAAAAAATAGAAGATTTACTGTTATGAAGACTACTGCATTAGTGTAGAAATGGTATAAATAATATCAGTGCACTTGTGAAAGAATATTAGACTCACCAGTTAACGTGTATTGGACGCATAGCATGATTTGTTTACTTCTGAACTTTGGTAAAAATCAAACATTTCTGCTACTTTGAGCTCAATTTCAAGATACTTTTCATTGTAAAACCAGTCAAAATCATCTCAATTTCTTCCATTCTATAAAATGAGACCAGGAAAACTAGAATACAACAATAAATACCATACGAAAATACAGTGCAAAGTCGCTGTTTTAAACCAAAAACACGGTCAGTTTTTTTTTTCTCATTACGCACTGTGTGCTGCAGGATTTTTTTTATACCATGCACACTGACCACATAGATCCATTCTTTCACATGTAGGCCTACCAGCTTTCTCTCATTAGATTTGAGGGCGCTAGAATTTAGGTGTACCAGTACGTCAAAAACCCTGGTGTGCAAGCCGTACTAGTACGGCCGAAACCCTGAAAGGGTTAAATGTAGCAGTGAGAAGGGGGCTGGAGGCAAAGGAGATGTCATGCCTGAAGACAATATGTGGTGTGAATATTATGCAGAGAATTCATAGATTTGAGATTAGGAGATGCAGGGTTACTAAAAGTATTATCAAAAGGGTTAATGAGATGAAAGTTTCTTTTTTTGGATAACCCTACCTCAGTAAAGGAGATGGCTGGTGTGTTAAAAAAAAATTATTTCCAGGCAAGACACACTCCCTTCAAATATTTTTTAATACACAAACCATCTCCCACCAAGGTAGTGGTAACCCAAAAAGGGAAATGCATTACTCAACATTCATTTAATAAGGAATACACAGACATCATTATTCCACACATTGCAATTCAAAATTATTATATGCTGAGCACAATATGAGCTTTAAAATAAGTATGTTCGTATGTGCATTATGCCTGCATTGTTTTATACCTAAATATTTAACAACTTTTTGCTAACACTTAAATTTGAATTTTAACAGATAAAAATCTAGTGCAATAAATACAGTGCTTTTTCTCCTTCATTCATTTTAATGTGGTACACATATAATGCACAAAATATCCATCTGTGTCTAAAACAAAACTAAACTGTCCAATTGTGTCTAAAACAAAACTAAACTGTCCAGTTACAACATATTCAGTTCTTGCACTGTAGGATGATAATGATCAAGTGGGAAGATATATCTCATTATTAAATAAAACATGTGGTATTAACTCCAAAGCCCATGAATTAGTTGCCATCTGTTAAACTCATTATGCAACAAAATATCAAAAGTTCATAAGTAGAAAAGGAGTTATAATATATGTATTTTAAATATAACTGACAAAAATTTTGTTTACAATGTAACATTTGAATGAAAGTTAATCTTTTCATCCAGTCAATAATGATCTTGCTTTCTTAGTTTTAAGCATAAATTTTAAAATTTTCATATTAGTAAGAAATCCTAAACATTGATGAAGCTTCATCCAGTCTTTATAATCATCTGGGAACAAATAAGCAAAACAAGATCAACTTTGCCTACTATTAATAATAGGTACAGAAATCCTGCTCATATGGATATTGAATGTCTCATTGAGATATACATAAAGGTGACTACTAAGGCCTGAGCTAAATGATGTACATGTAGATGTTAAAAAATATTAACCTAAAGACTGCTACAAATCTTAATAAAAATTAATCTGGTGCTTGAATAGTTTAAAGGAAAATGAGAATGACTAGAAAACATATTTGAAACAAAATCTGATATATGTGGTGTTCAGAAGTACAGCGGATCCTCGAATTTTCATCATCCCTTTTCTGTATGTAAAACTACAGTTTTTTTTTTTTTAACAAGTCGGCCGTCTCCCTCCTAGGCAGGGGGACCCAAAAAGAAAATCCCCAAAATGAAAATACTTTCATCGTCATCATTCAACACTTTCAACTCACTCATACGTAATCACTGTTTTAGCAGAGGCACCCAGATACAACAGCTTAGAAGCATATATAAAGATACAATATAAAAAGTGACCTGAAATAATATAATCAACTCCATATAGAATATAATATCAGGGCCCCAATTATATATATACATACCGTCCCATCACACATCCCTCCAAACTGCCAGTATCCTAAACCCTCTATAAAATGTATTTTGTGTTAATATTTCCCATAAGAAATAATGTAAATCCAATTAACCCATTCCAGACACCCAAAAATATTAACAAAAAATACATTTTATAGAGAATAACTACAGTTTTACATACAGAAAAGGGATGATGAAATCTGAGGGTCCACTGTATAGTAATTATTTAAGAAATTTGTATCCTGAATGAAAAACTAAATAGAAATTTAATAACTTTTACCTTCTTTATGTCAGTATGGCTTTTAAGAAAACTGGTTATAAGGCTCAATTTTTTGTATTATTACCAAGACTCAATTATGAAAAGTGCCCTAACAATTTTCACAAGACGCTCTTTCAAATATTCCATTTCACTCACTTTGAAATATATTTCTCAATTTCTGGTCCTTGAATGGGTGTCATCATCATTGGCATTGGCTCAGTGGTTGATAGCCAATATGAATAATCGTTCCTCTGAGAGTAGTCACACACATTGTTGAGGTTGCAGAAGAGATATGGCATAGTGCTGAATTTCTTCAGACAGCTTCCTGGAGCACCTGTTATAAATACAAATACATTTCTTTTATAAACAGTATTGTGTAATACAACTGATCCCTGCTTAATATACGTTCACAAAGTAATCTTGAATGACGAAAAATCTCTGAATTCCTCCACTGAACCTTTGCACTCTCACACTGATCTATGATGACATCAGTGTCACTCACATAGATCTATGTTTTAAGCATGGCATTCTGAGATGCTGTGAGCAGTAACTTTGGCCTAGGCATAAGAGAATGGATCTGTGCAATGTGTGTGCACAATATATAAAAAAAAAAGGGAAAATGTTTCTTGCTATCAGATGATAGAATGGAAGACACACTATTGAAATAGAGGTGATTTTGGTTGATTCAGCTCAGAAGAAGCTTGAAACAGGCCTCAAACTGGAGGAAGTATTCAGTTTTCATGATTTTCCTATGCAAAAGTAGACCCCCCCCCCAGTCTGAGTTATGGATTTTTACTAGGTCTACTTCAATTATTGGGATGGCCTAAACCATAACAAATCTTTTTTGTTGTATTATAATAATCCAAGAAATAGGGTAAAACTTGGATTTTTTTTAGTGATGGACTGAAAATGGAGGGAATAGGTTACATAGGAGAGGCCTATGGACAAGATTAATAAACAGGAGATAGTGCTAGTAGTTGTAATGCCTACAGTGTTAATTTTGAACTCTATTTTTAAACTGGAATTTGTTGATTATTATTACAGCTAGCCCTCCACTTTCGCAAGCTTTGAACATTCGCGAATGCCCAATCATATTTATCACACTGGCCGATTCCCACCAAGGAAGGGTGGCCCGAAAAAGAAAAACTTTCACCATCATACACTCCATCACTGTCTTGCCAGAAGGGTGCTTTACACTACAGTTTTTAAACTGCAACATTAACACCCCTCCTTCAGAGTGCAGGCACTGTACTTCCCATCTCCAGGACTCAAGTCCGGCCTGCCGGTTTCCCTGAACCCCTTCATAAATGTTACTTTGCTCACACTCCAACAGCACGTCAAGTATTAAAAACCATTTGTCTCCATTCACTCCTATCAAACACGCTCACGCATGCCTGCTGGAAGTCCAAGCCCCTCGCACACAAAACCTCCTTTACCCCCTCCCTCCAACCTTTCCTAGGCCGACCCCTACCCCGCCTTCCTTCCACTACAGACTGATACACTCTTGAAGTCATTCTGTTTCACTCCAAAAAAGCATGGGAAAACGCTTCCCACCGTGTCTCTACTACCCTCCCTCTTACCCCCTCAACCGGCAGCCCGCCAGTCCACCACTCACTCTGTCAGTGTCCAGTTACTGTTCGTGTCAGTCATGTCCAGTTACTGTTCATATTCTACTGTACACGTGTGCTTGTGTGGTGGTGCATGTATGGCCCCCAGGCGAGCAGCAACCGCTATTGATGAGCCAACCCCTAAGCGGTCAAAGAAAGTCATGAATCTGGAGGAGAAGGTGAAATTGCTAGAAAAGTGTAGGGCAGGTTATTTGAGCAATTATGCCATTGGAAAATTATTTAATGTAAACGAAAGCACAGTATGCTCTATCAAGAAAAATGAGGTGAAGATAAGGGTGGCACTAGCATCTACTGCTCCTCCCTCAGCCAAGTAAGTGTCACAAGTAAGAAACAGTGCAATGTCTAAGATGGAATCAGCATTATTTGTGTGGATTTCAGACCAAAATAGAAAAGGAAATCCCATAGACAGCAATGCAATTCGTGCAAAGGGAAAGACTTTGTATGATACATTGGCTAGTGATGAGGCTAGCACCAGTGCAGAACCAGGATGTCCTACCATCACCCATCCTGACTTCCTAGCAAGTAAAGGATGGTCTGATAAATTTAGGAGATGGTTCTCCCTGCACAACCTGAAGATGTATATACAATATTTTACGATGTTTTCATACGTCTTATGATTGATCATGGATCAATAGGTTAAGCAAGCAGTATTGTTAGGCTAAGTAAATGCTATTCTTATATTTACCTACAATATATTTGCACATCAAAACATTCACGAATGCTACAGTATAGTATTATATATTTTTTTTTTTTCAACAAGTCGGCCGTCTCCCACCGAGGCAGGGTGACCCAAAAAAGAAAGAAAATCCCCAAAAAGAAAATGCTTTCATCATCATTCAACACTTTCACCAAACTCACACATAATCACTGTTTTTGCAGAGGTGCTCAGAATACAACAGTTTAGAAGCATATACGTATAAAGATACACAACATATCCCTCCAAACTGCCAATATCCCAAACCCCTCCTTTAAAGTGCAGGCATTGTACTTCCCATTTCCAGGACTAAAGTCCGACTATATGAAAATAACCAGTTTCCCTGAATCCCTTCACTAAATATTACCCTGCTCACACTCCAACAGATCGTCAGGTCCCAAGTACCATTCGTCTCCGTTCACTCCTATCTAACACGCTCACGCACACTTGCTGGAAGTCCAAGCCCCTTGCCCACAAAACCTCCTTTACCCCCTCTCTCCAACCCTTTCGAGGACGACCCCTACCTCGCCTTCCTTCCCCCATAGATTTATATGCTTTCCATGTCATTCTACTTTGATCCATTCTCTAAATGACCAAACCACCTCAACAACCCCTCTTCTGCCCTCTGACTAATACTTTTATTAACTCCACACCTTTTCCTAATTTCCACACTCCGAATTTTCTGCATAATATTTACACCACACATTGCCCTTAGACAGGACATCTCCACTGCCTCCAACCATCTCCTCGCATTTACCACCCAAGCTTCACACCCATAAAAGAGTGTTGGTACTACTATACTTTCATACATTCCCTTCTTTGCCTCCATAGATAACGTTTTTTTGACTCCACATATACCTCAATGCACCACTCATCTTTTTCCCCTCATCAATTCTATAATTAACCTCATCCTTCATAAATCCATCCACCGACACGTCAACTCCCAAGTATCTGAAAACATTTACTTCTTCCATACTCCTCCTCCCCAATTTGATATCCAGTTTTTCTTATCTAAATCATTTGATACCCTCATCACGTTACTCTTTTCTAAGTTCACTTTCAACTTTCTACCTTTACACACATTCCCAAACTCATCCACTAACCTTTGCAATTTTTCTTTAGAATCTCCCATAAGCACAGTATCATCAGCAAAAAGTAACTGTGTTAATTCCCATTTTGAATTTGATTCCCCATAATTTAATCCCACCCCTCTCCCAAACACCCTAGCATTTACTTCTTTTACAACCCCATCTATAAATATATTAAACAACCATGGTGACATTACACATCCCTGTCTAAGACCTACTTTTACCGGGAAGTAGTCTCCCTCTCTTCTACACACCCTAACCTGAGCCTCACTATCCTCATAAAAACTCTTTACAGCATTTTTCAAATTCAAATTCAAATTCAAAGTTTATTCTCTATAAAGATTACAATGTTGAATTTACAGAATTTGGTTGTTGTGTGGTTTACATGTAGTTAAATAATGATTACAGAGTGTACCACTAGAACGCCTAGCATGGCTAGGCATTTCGGGCAGACTTAGTTTAATTCTTTATTTTAAAATATTACAAATTATGAGGTAAGTTGGTATTATGGCTAAGTGACTAAATACTAGTTTGTGAGTTTAGCAATGTGAATGCTTTTGTTTTGGCACAGTACATAGTTTCAGTATTGGAGTATCATAGGATTCATTATTTTAAGATTGAGATTAATATTTCTGTTTATGGTCAAATGGGTGAGTGAGTGTAAGTGTGAACCACCAGGTGGTATTCGTGTAGTTAGTTGATGGGGTTTATCAGGGAGATAAGATGTTTTCTAATGGTAGTTTTGAAGGTGATGAATGTGTCTGCAGTTCTAGAGTTCTCAGGTAGGGTGTTCCAGATTTTAGGGCCTTTGACATACATTGAATTTTTGTAAAGGTTTAGTCGGACATGGGGAATGTCGTAGATGTTTGTGTCTGGTGTTATGCCTGTGGGTTCTGTCACAACTATCAAGAAAGCATTTTAGGTCAAGGTTGATATTGGAGTTTAAGGTCCTGTAGATGTAGATTGCACAGTAGTAAGTGTGGATGTACTGAAGAGGGAGTAAGTTTAGATCTATGAAGAGTGGGGGGGTGTGTTGCCAGGGATGGGATTTAGTGATTATTCTTACTGCAGCTTTTTGTTGGGTTATTATTGGCTTTAGGTGTGTTGCTGCAGTTGATCCCCAAGCACAAATAGCATAGGTGAGGTATGGATAAATAAGTGAGTGGTATAGTGTGAGAAGGGCATTTTGCGGCACGTAGTATCGTATCTTGGAGAGGATCCCAACTGTTTTGGATACTTTTTTGGTTATGTGTTGGATATGGGTGCTGAAATTCAGGTTGTTGTCAAGGTATAGGCCTAGGAATTTGCCCTCATTATGTCTGGTAATTAGAGTGTTGTCGATCTTAATGTTAATTTGTGCATCTCCTGCTCTGCTACCAAACATAATATAGTAGGTTTTGTCAGTGTTAAGCGTAAGTTTATTGACTGTCATCCAAGTCGATATTTTGATCAGCTCCTCGTTAACAATGGTGTTGAGGGTGGCAAGATTAGGGTGAGAGATGACATAAGTCGTGTCGTCAGCAAAGAGAATGGGTTTCAGGTGTTGGGATACGTTTGGAAGATCATTGATGTATATGAGGAAGAGCAGGGGACCAAGGACACTTCCCTGCAGAACTAATAATAACTTACCACCTATTCCATATTCTTGCAACATCTGCCACACATTGCTCCCCTATCCACTCTATCATATGCCTTTTCTAAATCCATAAATGCAATAAAAACTTCCCTACCTTTATCTAAATACTGTTCACATATATGCTTCAATGTAAACACTTGATCTACACATCCCCTACCCACTCTGAAATCTCCTTGCTCATCCGCAATCCTACATTTTGTCTTACCTCTAATTCTTCCAATTATAACCCTACCGTACACTTTTCCTGGTATACTCAATAAACTTATTCCTCTATAATTTTTACAATCT